GCAAACTTATCTAGTAGCACCTGTCACAACACAACACAGCATAATTAGGCAGGTGTAACATAATACACTTACACTTGCACACACATTTACACTACCGCTCACAAGCTTAGGGTCCCCTCCATTTTTTTAAATTTTTGACATGTACGCAGTTTGAGTACATTGAATAACCTTAAATTATACAAAGCTCAGAAGTAAGAGCTAAAATAAATTCTACAGCTGTCCCAACTTTTGCTGACTACTTACAACAACAAATTCTATCTTTACAAAGGCAGTAATGGAAAAGACTGTGACTCCGTCACTCCAAGTTTGGCTGTTGAATTACAATAGTAACAGCTGGAAGAATGGAGTTTACTCCAAACTTTTGAATGGTAGTGTAAACACACACACAAATACAGTTCATACTGCAGAAAATACAGTTTCACAAATATACATCTACATTTCAGAAAGTTTCTGACTTTGGAGAGGGAAGAGGTCCAGATGCGGTAGGCCTCCATGCTGCATTTGAGAAGCTCCTCCTTCAGATCTGCCCACTTGGCCTGGGTCGGGCTGACCTCTATGATGCTCCTGGTTTTGTTCAGCTTTTTGCCCTGCCTGGTAGTTCCCTTGGCTACAGCCTCAGACCCATTCTGTTTTCCCATGATGCAATGCTTCAGGTTGGGACAGAGTTCACCCATAGACTGGCACAACCTGGCCATGAAAAGAACCGAACTGAGTCGAGTCTGGCCAGGCTCCAGTGAGGCTGCAGCTAGTTCGGAGCGGATGGAAGACAGGATCTGGTGTACACAGGCTACACAGGCTTCTCGTAAAACCTCCTCCACTGCTGGCGAGTCCATGAAGCGGTTAAATGAGGATGCAAATGAGCCCTCGGCAGGTCCAGAGGAGGAGACTGTGATTGAGATGGAGTCAGAACCTGCCAAGCACAGTGGGGAAGATAAACATTTATTTCTATTTATTATCTAATGGCAAACTATCCGAGAGCTGTTGGGATGTTTCACTCTGAACCAATGATGTCAACTTGCTGGTTCCACTGTTAGAGGTTCATCTAAGTTGTTAAGATGCATCATTTGTAAACCATAAATGTTTGTACACAATATAGTGCCACTCCATCAAGTCCCACTAGTGATACTGGATGAAAAGGATCATGGGATTTCCAGTTATTAGGATTAATCCTCAGGTGACCCTGAATGAACCAAATTTCCTAGTCCACCACCCCACCCCGCAAGAATTGCAAACTTGTCTGAATGTTGTAGGGGCTAAAGAGTTTAAATCATTGTTTTTGTGGATCAGATACAACTTGGTCACCGTATAGGGTCTGGGATAGGGCTGATAGGACACTTTCCATCAACTGCACCTACCTGTGTCTTGCGAGGGAAGGTAATGCTGGAGGTCATCTAGCCTGGCCTTAAGCTTTGCATCAATGGAAGAGCAGAAGTTCTGAACACGAGGTGTCAAGGCCTGGGTCTTCATGGCCAGGCCACTCCTTTGCTGATGCTGCTGCTGCTCCCGCTGGGTCACTCTGACCCACCCTGCATCACTCAACAGATCCCCTGGAGTCTCCAACCAAAGGAAGGAGGCAACATCTACCTCATAGTGAGTGCCGCAGTCAGAGCCAGAGTTGGTCTCTACAGAGGTATGAATGGTCTGACCCTCAAGATCCCTTACTGTTGAGGTGAGGAGCTGGACGGACCTCATCGAGATGGCTTCAGTTTCTTCTTTGGTGATGGCCTTGGGGAATGGGAGGAAGGCATTAGTACTGAAATATGTGCAATTTTATCAAATCCACATGCAGGTTTGTCACTACAGTGATACTGAACACAACACAGAACTTCAAAATGGCATGAATAGGCCTACATGCCATGTCAGTGGATAGTAGGGGTGTGTAGCACTCCCTCTCACACAATTCAATAATCTACAGTGCAATTCAGAGCTATTTCAATTTGATTAAGCTGATATGGGGCGACTGTGGCTCAGGAGGTAGCATGGGTTGTCTCTTAACCGGAAGGTTGATGGTTCAGTTCCCAGCTTCTCCGGTCCACACATCAAAGTGTCCTTGAACAAGACACTGAATCCCATTTCAACTGATCCAGTTGAAACCAATCAGCTCCCCCTGACCACTGGGAGCAGTATTAGGCAAGTTGCTGCTTGATACACCAGAATGAGAAGAAGGCAGGATTTGTACTTTACTGGAGGTGTTTTTTATTTGGTTTGATTCTTGGGTTTTGAACTGGGGTTTTCAGGCATATTTCTCATTCTTATATTGGTTTTCATTTATGCATCGGTTAATATTTACACCCCTGAATGACAGACTATTTACAGTCTCTGGATTTTTCAAGTTCATCTTGAAACAATATTAATGAGCCCATTATGTACATGAACATTGCTCTTAGTTGTTCTAATTTTTCCTATGCTCCACACTGATGCTGAATGTTTTCACCCGGAACATGACTCTGCTTTAAATAGTACTAGAGCGTATCCTTCCGCCACAGTTTGACAAGGAACTACTAATCAGGGAAATTGAAGGCTTGCTAACATTTTTGTCCATGATTGTATATACTGTCTGTGCATGTCAATACTGGTTTAAGATCAACCTGAAAATTCCAAAACCTATCCTTTAACAAGTTGGATATCCAAGAAGCTAGATAATACCAACCTGCAGACGCTGAAGGAAGAGCTTCTGCAAAAAGTCATCCCAAATAGCTAAGGGATGCTCTAGCAGTTGCTGGCACACAGTGCTCCAGTGCAGACTGATGGCATCTGTGGACAGGAGGTCCCACACAGCGTCTCTGATGGCTGCCAGTCCTTTCAAACTCTTGACATAGACCAAAAGGTTGCCAACACCACAGCAGATGTCCTCCTTACAGCTGAGAAAAAAGGAAACATTGTAGAAGCGTTGACAAGCTATCTATTGAGAATTAAATCAGTGGCAGTTAAAAGATGACTGATTAAAGGTTTAAAGCAATTTCCAATTTCAAAAAGTCAAGAAAGCATTTAGAGACTTCCTTACCAACCTTCACTATGCCAGCTTTAAGATGCGGCTTTGCAAACTGTACCACTGATTCACTGCCTTCTTTTTCAGAGCAGCAACAATATCGAGTGACATATGTAGGAGGCTGCAGGTCGAGGTAATTAACTTGATTAGGAGTAAACCTAAGGTGGCTGCCCTCCATTGTGTTGGTACATGGCACTAACGCAAATCATATTGAAGCCTTTCTTTGAATTTGTTAGCAGAACTGTCAGACTGACATAGTGCAATTTTTCTCAAATGCTCTATGGCCCATTGTTGTAAATTCAAATGTTATTCCAAACTGGTCCAACAAAAGAGGGTTGTGGGGAAATAACCTATTATAAATACTCAGTTTCAATGCTGTATGTCAGGACAAGATCGAGAGTGTAATTAAAACACAACGGTGGATATTTATTAAAGTGGTCACAAATTACCTTCAGGTGTTCCAAATATTGTGCCGCTGCAATTTTTCAATTTCACAGCATATTTACCAACACTGATATCAATCTGTCCGTTTAGAAAGCACAAGTGATTGTGAATCAGTTTCACTTGCTTTGGTGCAAATGGCACCAGTGTCACCGTGATGAAAAGTTAGCCTGGGACAACAGAGTTTTAGCCATGACATATGGACAACTTTCCAGCCCTCCCCATTGTCCTCCAAGACAATGTCATAATTGAGCCAATCTGGGCAATGATTCTATCCGCTTGTTAAGTGTGACGTAATGTTCCAAACAACAGAGCCTGTCACCATCTCCACAACGTCTTTTTTTTAGGCGCTATTGACAGTTAAAAAAAAAAGACGATTCTTTCAAGTCAAATACAGTAGTCAGTGTATCTGTTCTACTTGGTGTCATAATAACCAAACTCTGTTAATAGGTCCCATCAGTGCTTGAAGTGTGGAGAAAAAAGTGCTGGTACTTCCCTTATCCCCCTTATAGCTTGTGCTGCCCCCAAATGGCCTAGTAACAAATAGGCCTATAGGTTTAAATAAAATTTACATAACATAAAAATAATAGTATATGTAGTACATTAATCAGAAATCATGAAAATTATTTTTTGCATAAGAATTTGAGTCTGATTCAGATTCTGCTTCCTGCGTCCTGCCATCCAATTTCCCTGTTGTGCTGCACAAACATAATTGCCAACCAGAATTCTCTGTGCTTCTGTACTTTAATAATCAGACATTTGTGTAAAAATCTGAAAAACCTTTGGAGGGTTGAGGCAGTGGGATGAGAAACAGCAAGTATGAAAAATAAATAAATAATTAAAACTAGCTGCATCCTCACGTGTCAATCCATTGCTGCAAAGTGTCCCGGAGCTGCTCTCTCTGGATTGGCTGAGCCAGGGTGCGAAGGGCAGGCTGGAAATCATAAACAGAGGAAGGCAGGTGTTTGAACCAGCTGCCTGTGCTCGTCTCTTCCTGCAGCACCTTCATGCCTTTAGCTGAGAAGAGAGATAGAGTCATGGAGGAGACATCAGTCAAGGCACAACATTTTTGTTAACTATACCTGGATGAACTCTGACACTGACATCATACATCAGCTTCTGCAAGGACGTGCGTCCACCAACACCTTCTGGACATTCAACACCAACAAGCCCCTTTCCACAGGAAAACTCAAGCAGATTCATCATGCTAAAGAGGAGGCCTACAGAGATCACTGACTAAAGAGATCAGGGTAGCAAAGAGGAGCTACGTACACTGAAAAGTTGAAAAAGTAGTTTTCAGCTGAAGACCCTGCTTCAGTATGGACAGGCCTGCAGAACATCATCGGCCACAGGTCACGTTCCCCCTATGCTGTGGGGAACCATCCCCTTGCAGACCTGACCACCCCCCAGTTAGAAGTGCATAAAGTCCCCTTCTGCTTCAAATGCATCATCCAGGTTCCCAAAAAGCCCTCCATTAGTGAACTGAACAATTACAGACCTGTCGCCCTGACTTTTGTAGTCATGAAGTCCTTTGAGAGACTGGTGTTGACCCATCTGATGGACATTGTAGACCCCCTGCTGGACCATTTGCAGTCTGCCTACTTGGCAAACAGGTCAGTGCATGATGCAGTAAACATGGCTCTGCATTGCATCCTACAACAGCTCAACTCCCCAGCGACCTATTCATGGTTCCTCTTTGTGGGCTTCAGCTCAGTGTTTAACACCATCATTCCAGACATCCTCCACTCTAAACTGGTGCAGCTCTCTGTGCCTGTCCACATTCATCAGTTGATCACCAACTTTGTGACAGACAGGAAACAGCAGGTGGGGCTGGGGAAAACCACATCCAACACAGGCACCCCCCAGGGGTGTGCACTCTCCCCTCTGTTCTTCTCCCATTTAAACCCACAACTGCACCTCAGGGACCCCTCTGTTAAAATCCTGAAGTTCACAGATGACACAATGGTCATTGGACTTATCTGAGATGATGACAGACAGGAGGCTGAACATCTGGCCCAGCGGTGTGGTCACAACAACTTGGAGCAGAACACGCTAAAAACTGGAGATGACGAGCCACCCTACCCTGCCACCCTACCTGGTTCACCGACCAACCAGGACAGGAACAGACTCCAATGGCCAGTTCAGACAGCAGAAAGAATCACTGGTGCCAAACCGCCCTCCATGGAGGACCTGTACACCTCACGGGTCAAGAGGAACACTAAAAAGTTGGCACCACAGATGGCTGCCTCGGCTGAATGCTGTCTCTACTGGAGAGCCTCATTACCAGAGACAAATCCCTTGTGTGTTGAACATACTTGGCCAATAAATCTGATTAAATTACAGTGCCAATAAAGTTGACTGTGAACTATGAGCATGACTTTGGATTTTATTACTTTCTACTTAATGCATTGTATGTAAAACCCATTGAACCCTCAGGACACAACTGCAGCAAAATAATGCACCTCTGCTTCTGAGTGTCACAGACTGTGTGACAGCTGGATAAAGCTAAATTTAGCACAGTTTCTTTGATTCTATCAGGAAGAAACATACATAATATCTGTTGAGAAATAATGGATAAAAAGCACTCTTACTGATCTAGCTTTATAATCATCAGCTGTTTCTTCAGAATCAACTGTTGTCCAGTAATGTCTCCATGTTCATGATTACAGTGCAAAGAGTAAATACCAAGCCCCCAGAAGAAGTGCTGGGCTGTGATGTGATTTTTGCAGCAGTAACAGAGTGACTAACTTGTTGTCAGCATCACAAACGCTCTGAAAATACTTCTGAAGAATGAGCATTTGATTCATTTGGCCCAATAATTCAGTAAGTCTAGTAGAGCTGTGCCAATTCAATCACTTTATCCTGTTCATGTTTGTGGGGAGCCAACGGGAAGACTTGGTTAGGTCACCTATGGTTATGTTAAGTATTAGGGTCATGGTTAAGGTTAGGAAAGTAGTGGTTATGGTTACGTTTAAGATTAGTCTACATGAAATGAATGTAAGTTAATGTAAAGTCCCCACAAGAAATGAAAACACAGCATCTCTGTGTGTGTGATTTGTTCAAAAAAGTATTTTCTCAGAATAGAACTTGAATATGAACAATATTATACATCAATATGAAAAATGCCATTTGAGTAGCCTGTCCATACCTAATATAACTTATCCTGAAAATCATATATGACATCTGTATATGTAGTGTAGTACATGTATTTGCCCAAAGCCTCTTGATAAAGGGAGTGGAAACTGAGCAAAAACAGCCTCAATTTCAATGAGAAAAATATAAGACCACTCCTGTCTAAGGATGTCCCAGCTATTTACCTGCAGTGGTGGTGGAGGTGACATTCTCCAGGATAGAGAAGAGCATGCCACAGCTCAAGGCCCCCTCCCCTGTCCTGGGGCCTTGGTCTGGGTTCTGATAGAAAACAGTGTAGGCCTGGAACAGAGTGGTGACCAGCAGCTCCACCAGGCCACACACCTGGGCCTTTATCCTCACACCTGGATAAAAAAAAACAAAAAACAAAAACAAAAAAAACATTCATTATCTGGTACACATTTCTGGCAGTTCATTTTTGCTTTATTCAGAGTTTACAAACAAGGTTTCCTCCTCGGGTGTTAGAAATGGCAGGATACCATGCTGTGGTTGGTTGAGCAGTTGATGGATGGAGCCTTTCCGAGCCAGCAAAAAGTCAGCCAGCACCTGGCGTGGTGAACTGTCCTCCAGCAACATAACGGACACGAGGGCCTCAGCGACGGCCTGGTCCGACACTGCCCGGCCTCGCAGAAGGGACCTGCTGTCCAGCAGAATGGTGGACCTGCAGGAAGACAGGCTGCCGGGTAACCTATCAATTCACTAACTGGATCATGCAGTAGTTTAGATTTTGAGTTCTGCATTAGATTCACTAGCTTTTAAGGAGTAATTTCACTTTGTGACTCCCCAAAGCAGGGTTTGACATAAGCAATAGCCCATGACCTGGACCCAGTAAAAAAACTGTCAGGCAAGTTGACTGGCCAGTCGCTGGACCATTTGGGCCAATGACACTGTTTCTGACGATCATAGTCACAAGTCAATTCACCTGTAATCAGTGGTGTACTGGGCATCTGATATAGTAACCTTTTTGTGGCTTGTTCAAGTGTTCTTTTAATATGGTGCACCAAGCGGTGTGAGAAATGGCAGGATACCATGCTGTGGTTGGTGGAGCAGTTGATGGATGGAGCCTTTTCGAGCCAGCAAAAAGTCAGCCAGCACCTGGCGTGGTGAACTGTCCTCCAGCAACATAACGGACACGAGGGCCTCAGCGACGGCCTGGTCCGACACTGCCCGGCCTCGCAGAAGGGACCTGCTGTCCAGCAGAATGGTGGACCTGCAGGAAGACAGGCTGCCGGGTAACCTATCAATTCACTAACTGGATCATGCAGTAGTTTAGATTTTGAGTTCTGCATTAGATTCACTAGCTTTTAAGGAGTAATTTCACTTTGTGACTCCCCAAAGCAGGGTTTGACATAAGCAATAGCCCATGACCTGGACCCAGTAAAAAAACTGTCAGGCAAGTTGACTGGCCAGTCGCTGGACCATTTGGGCCAATGACACTGTTTCTGACGATCATAGTCACAAGTCAATTCACCTGTAATCAGTGGTGTACTGGGCATCTGATATAGTAACCTTTTTGTGGCTTGTTCAAGTGTTCTTTTAATATGGTGCACCAAGCAGCGATTTGCTCGGTGGTCAGGATGCCCAGTTGAACTGAGTATCCCCCCCCCAACCATCACCAGAAGCAGATAATAGTGAGCAAACTGCTGCTTGGTGATTGCTGCCTAATCGCCCTACCATCACCAAATGTATTGATTTTTATAGAATTGTCGTGATGTGTATCTATATGTAATAAGTGTTGAATGTTTTAGGGTTTTAAGTTAAGGACTTGGCCAGTTGGAGTGCAGTGCTTAGGTCTTTCAACATGGCTCCGTTGTACCACCAGGTGAAGCCTCGAGTGTCGCCAGTGGTACACATGCCACTAGTTTAGTACATCTATTATGGCTGCCCTCATCCTATCATATAAATTTTATGTTCATGCTTAGGCCCATTGTATCCACGGTGGAGGACAGCAGAGAGGAGAGAGAGCATAAGAGATGCTGACGTATTGAATAAGAAATAATCTCTGGAGTTTTGTGTATTTATTGTGTTGAATACTCTGTTGTGTTTCTTTTCTTTCCTTATTTTTACCTGGGCCAGTAAACCTGCCCAGACACAACTAATAAAACATCCAGTACCTGAAATGCCCAGCGGTGGCTACCTGCCTGACCAGGATGGGGAAGCGGGCCAGGACAGGGCTGTAGTGGCCCCCTGCAGCAGCCTCCAGATGCAGCAGATTATGGAGGTGACAGCATAGCAGATAGAGATGGGTGGCCTGGAGGTACTGGGATGCTTCCATGGCACTCCAGATACGCTCTGGGATCTCCAAAAGGAGCTTTATCTGAGAGGCCACAGTGTAGAACTTCTCCTGCCACTGCCTCTGGCTCTAAAACAGAATGACAGACACATTACATGATGTTAAAACAAACTAAACATAAACTAAAAAAAATATAGATGATGTGTATTGGATTTAGAAAGAGGCAAGTGATAATGTTACAATAAAAACACAATGTAGTGATGTACAGGGAAGTGCATTCCAATCTCTCTTTTACAAAGACATGCCCCCAGTTTTCATTTAAAAGTATTATATTTTACATTCTTTTGCATATAAGCAAAAATTCAGACCCAGCACAACCACTGCTCAGCTCAGTCTGTAAGTCAAGTGACCCACCAGCAGCACTTTATTTGAAGTTTCACATTTCTGCTCTGGCTCATGTAGCTCGCCTCCCACCCAGTGCTGCAGACTTAGCAACTTTCTTGATAGATTTAGTGACTTTAGCAACTTCTTGCAAAAAGGTTTTATTTAAGGATCAATAATCAAAAGAATCCAAGGGACAGTATGTTGAATTGAAAAACACTTTCCAACATGGCCCCACTAGTGACTACTTGTGAGAGAGAGTTAAGCTACTTTCTCTAAAGTTGCATGAGGGTGAAAGGTGAAGTCTTGCCAGACGTTAGTGGTCGCACAGATTAGTCGACTAGTCAATGTCACTACATGGAGTCCATGTTTTTTTTGCATGACATCGACTAGTTGCTGGCCACGTGATGAAGGCACTACCAATAAGGAAGGTGCAGAGAAGAGGGTAGGTGACGAGCCGCCAGAAAACCAGCACCTCTGGGTCAAGTGTGTGGAGATACTTCACTAAGGATGAAGCAAACACTAACCTGCAGAATATGCAAATCTGTCCTTAAATACATCTGCCATGCACAGTCATCCAAAAAGGCGTGTGCTAATGGTAGCAGGAGAGATCAAACCTGCCACTACAGAGCACGTCAATAACTGCTTCACCAAACGCCCTGTGGTGACACCAAATCACAAATTTGCTCATGAACTTCGTTGTGAAAGATATTAGACCTTCGGCAGAAGTGCAGAGAGAAGGTTTTAGGGAACCGCTGCATTTTTGGAACCTGACTACAGTGTGCCATCTTACACCACGCTCTAGAATACAACTGCACACCAGTAAGGCATACTGCATGAGAGCACTGCAAAGGAAATAAAAGGTAACTGTCTCTAACCACCGACCTGTGGACATCCTCTACCATGGAGCCTTACATTACCATAACTGCTCATTACATTATGACTGGACTCGAGTCTCAGGTCCGAGTCTCTTGCCGCACTGGTGATTGGTGCGCAATGCATTCCTGTTCGATTTCTGTCCAACGTGACTGGGCAGAATATCGATATAATTCCAAACAAGCTGTAGGATGGCATAATACCATTTATATCGATATTAACTAACCTGTTTTTCCTCTGTATTTCCATCTCACCTCGCTTAATGTTTCACCTGCTCCCCCTCTCGGCTCAGCTGCTCTTTGCTTCGTGCATCCAGGAGCTCAGCACTGCTCTCTGAGTCAGTCGCACCTGTGTGCCCAAATAATTTTTCACATTCGCACACTCCGATTCTTACTCGCATATGCCAGTGAAATGCTCACACCGTAGAGCCCTGTGTGTATCCTATCACCTGTCTTGTTTGCCTTGTGTATAGACATGTGCAGGAGTAATTCTGTGACGCGTCACATTGTCAGATTTGCAGATGACTCTGAGGGAAAAGATGCTGATCACGGCTCTGTAAGTGGCTGCCCGCAGCTAGAACCAGCCCCCACTAGATCTGTCCTGACTGTAGCCACTTTAAAAGTTAATACTGTTTTTCCCCCACTGCTTTTAATTAATGCATCTTAATTCCACCCAATTTTGCCCAATGACCATTTGACGTCATTGTGCTGTTTAGCAGACCATATAGACACTGATGTTTCAAATTTTCTGGAAGAAAGGATGTCTCTGGTGTAAACTGGAGGTTAGTCTTGGGAAGACTGAAAGGGCTACAAGTATAATGAGAACAGTGAGAATCTAGAGTCTGCCACAGCCATCCTAAAAGTAATAGGAACTGACACTTGCATGTTGCTTTTAATTGTTGCTTATTGCCTTAATCGAATTTACAATCTAATGTTGTATCTATATATGCATTTTAATGCTTCATCTGTGTGCATTGCACTTTGAATTGCCTTTGTATATGAAAATGTGCTCTCTAAATAAACTTGTCTTGCCTTGTCAACCTTGGAAATCAGTGTGTCCAAAACCAAAGAGATGGCGGTCTGTACAGATATATAAATAAGCTGATTTTTGAGTCACCTGGTGATCTGTAAAAGGGCACACCAGCCTATGTACTTTTATATGAAATTAAGTACCTTTAATGTTAATGACACCCTTATGATAATGTTTTATTCTTGTTGAATCCATCCTTGTGCTTGTTTTTATCTGCTGGCTTTGGACATTGACTCATAAAAATTGGAACAGAGTGTAAAGTATAGTTAAAGCCTGCAGGTATAGACCTGACAGACCCCTGTGAACTGTACAGGACTAGGACTAGGACCTTGGGGAAAGATCAATCAATTCTGGCTGATTTTAGCCATCCTTTTTTTTTTAAAAGAGCTTCTGCTGCTAACTACCAACATGTAGGACAAAAATATAACTTTCACCCAGCTGCTATTGGCTTTTTAAATACTTAATGCTGTTAATACCAGTGGCTCTAACTACATACGAGTGGCAGATGTTTTTTAAATATGTTATTTATTTGTTGTTTAATGTGATTGTGGTGTGATTGCTACTGGGTGTACAACAATTTGCCCGTCAGGAATAATCAAGTTGTCTGAATCTGAGATGTGAGGATTCTTAAAATAACATCATGACAATCTAAATATCTGAGTGATCAACAACAAAAAAGGGTCATGATAATATTATGAATTTATGTATATTCACATCAAATCACCCCTGGTCAGCTATTATACAGCAGCAAACTAATATTACGACTGCTTTACATTTAACTTTTCCATGCACGATACTTGAGAAGCCTAATACGAGATTAACACAGAGAAGCATTTTATCACTCTCCCTGTCAAACAGAAGAACATCATTTAAAAAAAGAACTACTAGAGCCTGAGAACAAGCTGAAAAAACTGGTTTGGTGACATTTTATTAAGTCGGGATTGGATCTGACGGTAGGTGAGTGCTTCTGTGACTTCTTTTACAGACTGTGAGAGCTGGCTGAAAGCACCTGCATCCCTTCTGGGTTTGTGAGCTTGTTCTGCCACATTTCGCTACCTACCAGTCAGGGTTAGGGTGAAGTGGTTAAGTATTAGGGTGAGGGATGGCAGTGGGGTTAGTCAGTCCATAGACTGTTACTGAGGTAGCAAAACCTGGCAGGAAACACTGGTTTTGGCTCCGAGGAGGCGTGGTAGTAAACGCTACAGCCTACACTTTCAAAAAGTTGGATACTGACAGATATATGCTCTGTCCAGCACGCGGTATTGATCAGCGATTCGGGAAGCTGGTTTTCCGAATACGTCCGTGCTCAACAAGGACTTAACACTGCCTTAACACTACAACATACGTAGTTAGACCTAAATAAGACGTTCACCTCTTGTGCGCAGCTGGGAACTCTGGCTTTGGTTTCTTTCAGCCTGTGACAGTACTGGTGCATCTCCTGGATCGACTGGACGACGCTTTCTGAGCACTGCCTCATCTCCCCGATTGTGTCGGCGGCGTCGATTAGGTCCCGGTAGCGCTCCCCCACCATCTGCCGCAGCTCCTCTTTCTTCTGCTCGATCTCCCCGCGGACTTTGCGCTCGATTAGGCGGATCTCCTCGGTGTTGTACCGCTCGAAGAGGACCTCCGGGTTCTTAATCTCCGAAACCCGGAGAGACAACGCAGAATCCACGGCCATTGCGCTTCAGTTACTGCAGGAATCCCAACCCGGAAGAGCAGAAGATGTACACTTCCTGTTTACCTTGCTGCCTACACGTAGGCAGAAATGGACGTATTTGATTACGACAGCAGAATACGGCGCCGCCAGTTGCCGTTTGCGGTACTGTAGCTAAAAGTCTCCCTGTTCCAAAAAAGCGTTAAGGTTCGTTTAATGCCTATACAAAAATAAGATACCGGTACATGGTAATATATATTAAACAATGGACTATACATGCTTACACATATAAATGGATAAATAATTAGTTAAAATATATTTTCATATAGATATAAATATATCTATGTGAAAATATGTAAATATGGGTGGTAGTATTTGTTTTGACCATATTTAATAACATTTATGTAGGTATATGTATATTTGATATAAGAATATACCACTCATATATTAAAGATAAAAATATATTTTTGACATGTAATTTTAATATGTTCACGCCTTGTATGTATGTATAAGAATGTGGTTATACATCCCTTCATGTGGGTATGCAAAAAGCAAAATGCGACAAAATTGCAGGAAAACAGAGTTGTTATTTCCAGCACAGTTGGACAGTATAAGAGACAGTGATATAACTCTTATGTTTAAAACTCTTTCGGCACTGTATTGAACTGTTATGATACAGTAGTGTCTTTAAATAGTTTTCCACCTCTTTTATATACAATAAACTAATAAAAATGTCAATATAATGCAGCACAATACTGCAACGTAGCCTGAAAAATACCAAAGAATGAAAAGCTCTCTTGCACATGAAAAATATTACATTATTACGTTTGAAATACATTTTACTTGTGTAATTATAATGTACAGTATAGAGACCGTCAGTTAATCTCTACTCCTAGGAGAAAAGGGCTGCAAAGTATGCATAAGAAAAAAGTCAACATTGTCTTTTTGCCACAATATTAGTTCATGCAGTTGTTAAAATATGCCACATACATTCAACATACATAAATGCAGTGGTGTCAGAAAATATTTTTATCCCTTCACTCCTTGCATTTTCCAAGGGCAGTTTTTTCAGTTTCAGTATGAATTAACAGCAGTAAAATGTGCATAAAATGTAGAAGAGGTAATCCTATCTGAAGTGACTGCAGCCTATATACTGTAAATTCTGCTAAATCAATAACTTGGCCACAGCTATTGAGAAAAAATGTAATATTAAGCTTTAGATCTATTAATTTCCTTTGTTTTAAAGGCATGCAGTATATGAAGAAGGCAGGCTATGAAAACTTACAGGAATAGATTTAGAGCCAGGTACACTTTTCAAATAGCTCAAAAATTGTGCTCTTTGTTAAAATTTTCACATTAATAACCCTATATTTAAAAAACAGCCTCTTGCAATAAATCTCAGTGAAATGCACACTGTGTGGTTGTAAAAGTGAAGCTCCTCTTTGTCTGCCCTTAATATGAGCCGCTCCACATCAAATTATTTCCTTCTGACTGAAATGGTACTGTTTGATTAGGAATGGTTTAGGATGCCCTAAAAGGTTCTTTACAGTATTGGTACCATTTGTTTTCTTTAAAGTCATGTCTTATTATAATTACTCTAATGCCAGTGAGTCACCTCTGGCTCCAAGACCCTTTCAATTTGTGAAGTTATTGTGTTTACATTAAATAAACCTGAGAACTAACCTGCTCCCAAGTAGCTTTGAGATTACGGATATGTTGCCATGCCAATAAGTCCTGCAAGACTTTCAAAGATCCAGCAGTTCCAGGATAATATGAAATTTTCAACAAAGTTATCAGGTGAGCTTGCTTTGGTGGATTCTGCGACTATCTTTACCCGCCTAGCTCCAAAAAAGTTTACCTGAACCGATAAATAGGCTTCATGTCACAGTTATATGCCATGCAGTGATATGCCAGCTACTATGCAAGTAGTGTAGACAGCTGGATTTATTAAGATTGCACCCCGTCAGTTGCGTGACATACATGCCTCAAAATGAGTAATACAGGACTGTATGACAATCGGAAATGGATCAGCTTTATTCTATCTGATGTCTATCTTGTGAAAAATCCCTGGATCAGCATTGATACTGATAGTATCAGATCAGGGCATCGATACTTTTACGTATTTATTCACTAGCAGTTATACTAATATAGACAGTAGAAACTATGATACTGTAAAGTCTAGACCTTACTATGTAAAGTGCCTTTAGATACCTTTTTGTTTTCATTAGTGCTATATGAACAAAACCGAATTGAACTGAATTAAGGATCTGAATTAATTCAATTGAATTAAGGAGTTTCCTCTGGAGGAGGGTATTGTTATTAGCTACATGAGACATCATATAGTCAGAGTTTCTAATCCAGTATCACAAATCATGAAATTATCATAATAAAAAGTAGAAAGAGAACAGTGAAACAAAAAACTGGGATTCAGCATCAACTACTGAAGAACTTAAAGCTGGTCATAATAAAAACCTTAATAATTACTTTATAATACTAAATAAAAATTGCTCTTGTTACTGCTGTCTGCACATCCACAAGCTTCCACGGGGGCTTATTTAGATGTACATTAAGTAGACTGTAATTATGCTTGCACATAATAGTTTTGGTCATAGGTCAACATCTGTACAGCGCCATACTTTACACATTATTACTGTTGAGTTGTCTGAGCCCGGCCACCCTTACAAAATTTCTAAGTTTGCGCCCCTGGACGTGAGTGTTTCGGTGACTGTCTGTACAGATTGTGAAGGTTGGTGGAAAGCTCCCAGACCATCTTGACTGAAAGTTTGTGTCAACGCCCCGCGCTGCTGCCGCTGCCCGCTCCCTGCGCTTTCCAGGTGTGACGCAGCGCATTTCATACCAGCCTCAGTTGCGTCAGGTACCTTCGTACCCGGAAGGCGAAACACTAAAAAAAGCGACTCCATTTTCAGGTAGGCACCTGCTGTTTTGAATAACGTCAAATATACACATTGCATACTTTAGAACGAGTAAGCTACTGTTTGATTTATTGTAAAATGTTACCTGTTGTGTCACATTTGTCCCACTCCGCACAAAGTCGTCATTTCAACGTCTTTTAAACAACTTTGGTTAACGATGAAAAGACGGCTATAATATAATCAAAAAATCTAAAACTAACAGACGTCTTTTTGTGGACATTAAAAAGCTGACTATAGGCTTATTGATTGATTGATTGATTGACCGTTACTTAGCCAACCTTTTGAACACAATGTGACAATAAAAAACTATAGTAATAACAGTAAATTATGACACAAGGATGAATACGTAGTTAATTAAATAAATGGGCAATAAATGACAGATAGGAAGAAGGCTACCTATTCTTTTTAAGTAAAAAATAAATGCAAAACTACTACATTATAAATATCCCTGCATTCACACTCATGATCAAGTATTAATATGCACCAAGAATCATCCAAAATAAAAGTATTCATGTATCCAGTAAAATGCACCTTAATTGATATTATGACTGTAAATAGTGATGTCTCAAGCCTTCAGCAGCATTTCAATGTTGTAGCTCCTCTGGGTGGAGCTTGTTTTGGTCCTAGGGGTCAGGCCCCAGGATAAATCTGAGGAGTCATAAGATGATTCATGGAAGAGGAAAAAAGACATTCACAAGCCACATACAAAAATGTTTTTAGTTTTCAGACTTTAATCTTTAATAAATTTAGCCAATTTCTCTTTGGTGTCACTGCTAATAATGCTTGGACATCCAGGAAACCTGGCAAGGTGCCCCAGCTAAATGCTTTTTTGTAAGGGCCCACAGGACAAAAGTGGTAACAACTTGGTTAATCTTTAACAATTTCAAGCTTGTTTGCTTTTTTAATGGAAATCATTAGTCAGCATTTAGTAAATATAGACACCAAGTTGTCAATTTATTAGATGCACTTTTCAGTCTAACCCAACAGTCTTGAAATAAATCCTTCTCCATGAAGGAAATAAGTTTTAGCTGGAACTGTTTTAGAGAGGTATTGATTTAAGTGTATGGTCACTTTGGAAGATATAGTTTGTGCTGCTGTTGAACTGTATTATGTTATACAGATGGATGCTTCTGTTATTTTGTCCACCCTATTTTTTTTTTTATCAACGAGGCATATAATGAAGTATAAGTACAAACTAGAGCTTCCAAAATGACAGCTTGCTTTAATTTGATAGTGATACCATAATGTTATGATCACAGAACGATGCCCTCTGTAATCATAATGTTATAGTGTTGTGTTCAGAAATCAGAAGCACCCTTCATTATCATAATTTGTATAGCAAATAAGGAGTTTATTTAGCTTTGGTGCTAATATAGACCTCAGAGAGGGAGAGAGAGAGAGAGAGAGAGAGAGGAAAGACAGATAGAAAGGCCAAAGGACAAGGAGGAAGACAAAAGGAGTAAACAGGTAAGAATGTGCACTATCAGCTCAAAGAGCACATCCTTCTGATCTGAGCAATGTTTAAACCAGTTCCCACTGCATGAACAGTGATCTTTATTTAGTTAAGGTGTTGTCACTTAGTGGTTGTCTTTATTGAACACACCTATGGAACACTAGGCTTCTGATGTCACTAAATGTCAACTGGAGTCAGGTGTTAGCAAACCTGGAGTCCGATCAATAAAACCAGAATGGAGGTGTGGTTTAGAACAACCTTGACTCAAACAGTGTCAGTGTCATATTCACAAGCAGGATCAGCTGATGTGAGCTGTCTTGCAAATAAGAGATCTCAGAAGACCTACAGTCAAGACTTGTTGATTTGCTTATAGCTGGAAAGGGTTCCAGAGTCATCTCAAAGACTTCAGATATTCATCAGTCCACACATAAACATATCATCTATAAATGGAGATGAGGTTTGCCAAAGACTATCCTGGCACTCCACAACACTACCCAGGGTTCTAGACCAACATTTCATACTGGTGGCACAGGTGCCACCAAGTCTCACAGATGGTGGCACCACCTCTCTTTTACAATGTAATGCAAAATAATCTGTATTTTTTTTTACAAATAATTTACATCCCCTTACCATCCAATGTGCATAGCCTGTATTTATAATAAAATTCAGAGAGAGGGAGACTTATGGAACACAGTAAATAGGAAGATGACTTCTGGAACAAGTTTCTACACATTTATGTGTGTAGTAGCATTAACATAAAAACAGTGTATCATCATGCTCACCAGTTATCCCATGCCTTTCTCTGCACTTATGTGTCTCCAGGCATTGTTTCTCCTGTTGGAGTCAAAATAAAATGAGCCTGACAAATCGTAAAGCTCTGGTTTTCCCTGCAAGACAATTATTAACTATTCATCTATCTTGGCTAAGCTTTAAACTGGATGTTGTTAGGAAAAGGGTGAAGCTGATGGTTTGGTTTTGTCACATAACCTGCAGTGCACTTAATGCACTGTGAAAAGTTTGAATTTTTTCTTAGTGTGTCACAGTGCATGACCATCACAACAGTATCATGAGCGCTGTTGTTGTCCATCTCCATTTAAAATAACGAACTTGAGTGCTCAAAAGATGTGACATGTGAATGACCCCTAATGTGTCATCCTCTGTGTATGTTCCTGAAAGCAGACTGAAAGATGAACATCCAGCAGGAGTTTGAGGATCAGTTTAACGATGTGGTTTCCAGACTGCAGTCCAAACAGATGTTCCAGTCTGACTGGGACATTGCTTCTTTTGCAATCTTCTTCATCTTCATCGGTGAGTGAATGTGAAGGAAATTGGATTATAGAAGCCAAGGTGTTCTGATTTCTATAATATCTAAGCATCAGGAACAGGGTTTTAATAAAGGCAAATACAAAAGAGAAAATGAGTTGAAATTATGGAAAAATGTTAACATTCCTTACTGCTTTGCATTTTTGTGTCATGTGCAGGTCTCTGACTTTTTTCCACCATCACTTTAAACAACAGATTTAACTGCTAAATCAACCCTAACTGCAACAAAAACATCACACATTAATGTACTTAATTTATATTTCATCACACCTTTCAGATAACAGAAACACTATCACCAATACAACAGACCACACCAGACACATTTAAGGCTGTACAGAGTCAAGAACATATTCATCCATCCATTTTCTACCACTTATCTGGGCTCAGGTCATGGTGGCAGCAGGTTCATTAGAGTAGTCCAGACATCCCTCTCCCCAGCAACATGCTCCAGGTCCTCTGGCAGGATTCCGAGGCGTTCCCAGGCCAGATGAGATACAGTGCCTTGCTAAAGTATTCGGCCCCCTTGAACTTTGCGACCTTTTGCCACATTTCAGGCTTCAAACATAAAGATATAAAACTGTAATTTTTTGTGAAGAATCAACAACAAGTGGGACACAATCATGAAGTGGAACGAAATTTATTGGATATTTCAAACGTTTTTAACAAATAAAAAACTGAAAAATTGGCCGTGCAAAATTATTCAGCCCCCTTAAGTTAATACTTTGTAGCGCCACCTTTTGCTGCGATTACAGCTGTAAGTCACTTGGGGTATGTCTCTATCAGTTTTGCACATCGAGAGACGGAAATTTTTGCCCATTCCTCCTTGCAAAACAGCTCGAGCTCAGTGAGGTTGGATAGAGAGCGTTTGTGAACAGCAGTTTTCAGTTCTTTCCACAGATTCTCGACTGGATTCAGGTCTGGACTTTGACTTGGCCATTCTAACACCTGGATATGTTTATTTGTGAACCATTCCATTGTAGATTTTGCCTTATGTTTTGGATCATTGTCTTGTTGGAAGACAAATCTCCGTCCCAGGCTCAGGTCTTTTGCAGACTCCATCAGGTTTCCTTCCAGAATGGTCCTGTATTTGGCTCCATCCATCTTCCCATCAAGTTTAACCATCTTCCCTGTCCCTGCTGAAGAAAAGCAGGCCCAAACCAGGATGCTGCCACCACCATGTTTGACAGTGGGGATGGTGTGTTCAGGGTGATGAGCTGTGTTGCTTTTACGCCAAACATAACGTTTTGCATTGTTGCCAAAAAGTTCGATTTTGGTTTCATCTGACCAGAGCACCTTCTTCCACATGTTTGGTGCGTCTCCCAGGTGGCTTGTGGCAAACTTTAAACGACACTTTTTATGGATATCTTTAAGAAATGGCTTTCTTCTTGCCACTCTTCCATAAAGGCCAGATTTGTGCAGTATACGACTGATTGTTGTCCTATGGACAGAGTCTCCCACCTCAGCTGTAGATCTCTGCAGTTCATCCAGAGTGATCATGGGCCTCTTGGCTGCATCTCTGATCAGTCTTCTCCTTGTATGAGCTGAAAGTTTAGAGGGACGGCCAGGTCTTGGTAGATTTGCAGTGGTCTGATACTCCTTCCATTTCAATATTATCACTTGCACAGTGCTCCTTGGGATGTTTAAAGCTTGGGAAATCTTTTTGTATCCAAATCCGGCTTTAAACTTCTCCACAACAGTATCTCGGACCTGCCTGGTGTGTTCCTTGTTCTTCATGATGCTCTCTGCGCTTTAAACAGACCTCTGAGACTATCACAGTGCAGGTGCATTTATACGGAGACTTGATTACACACAGGTGGATTCTATTTATCATCATTAGTCATTTAGGTCAACATTGGATCATTCAGAGATCCTCACTGAACTTCTGGAGAGAGTTTGCTGCACTGAAAGTAAAGGGGCTGAATAATTTTGCACGCCCAATTTTTCAGTTTTTTATTTGTTAAAAAAGTTTGAAATATCCAATAAATTTCGTTCCACTTCATGATTGTGTCCCACTTGTTGTTGATTCTTCACAAAAAATTACAGTTTTATATCTTTATGTTTGAAGCCTGAAATGTTGCAACAGGTCGCAAAGTTCAAGGGGGCCGAATACTTTCGCAAGGCACTGTATATAATCTCTCCAGTGTGCCCCGGGGTCTCCTACCAGATGGACATGTCTGGAAGACCTACAAAGGGAGGTGCCCTGGAGGCATCCTGATAATATGCCCAAACAGGTGAATGAAGCAGGCAGGAGAATGGTCGGGGTAGCTGGAGTGTCAGGAACACACGGGTGAGTCAGGCAGCAGGGAGTAAACTGAGGTGAACATGCAATGCCATATTACAGAAGTCCAAAAAACATTCACAGTTCAGAGAAGTGCCCAAGGAAACAAACAAAGGTGCCAAAAGGCGAATAGTTCAGACACAGTAGAGTTCATAAGGGAGTCCCCCAAAAGCAAACAAAACTACAGTCAATCAGGAGATGTCCCAGGAAAAGAGGCAGGATCTGAGGACAAACACAAAAAGGATGGTTCAGACCCCGGGGTTGGGCAAGAGGCTGGTGAAGCCATTTAGGCGGATGTCCTCAGGACCAGGTAGGAGTCAGATCGAACCATGCAGGCGGATGTCCTCGGGACCAAGCAGGAAACCAGAGAGGCCTTTCTGGCAGATGACCATTGGATCCACTGAACCAGGCAGGAGGTTGATGGAGTCTTGCAGGTGGAAGTCCTTGGGACCTGGCCGGAACCTGAAGATCCTGCTCTGGATGACAACCTCTGGGTCGGGTAGGAGAGCTGGAGAAGCCATTCGGGCGGATGTCCTCAGGACCAGGCAGAAGGTTGACAAAACAGTTCAGGTGGAAGTCCTTGGGACCAGGCAGGGAACGGGTGAGATCATTCTAGTGGACAACCTCTGGGCCAAGCAGGAAGTTGAGAGGGCCATTCTGGAGATGGCCCAGACACCAAGCAAGGAACAAAAGAGGCCAGTCAGGAGGACGACCTTGATGCTGAGCAGGAGGACGAGGCCGTTTGGGAGGTTGACCTCGGAACTATGCTGAAAGCCAAGGTTGCTTGGGAGGATGACCTAGGCACCAGGTGAGGAGCAGGTGAGGCTGTTCGGGAAGATGGCCCAGACACCAGGCGAGGACCCGGGAAAGACCGTTCAGGAGGACTGCCTCGGTGCCAGGTGAGGAGCAGAGGAGATCGTTCAGAAGTCCTTGGCAGCAGACATCATCATGTGTGTGAGAGGAGCGTAGCTCCACACTCCTCTAATCACAGACCGACAGAATGGATAAGCAAAACAGAATGGTCTGCGCCAGCCCATGAGGTTATGCTGGATGATGATTAAGGGAAGCATGGGGTATACCGCTCGTTAGGTTCTGATGATAGAAATGCAGCAACAGGAACTCAAAACCCAAGTCATTTTTTATATTTGCATATTCCAGGGGATTTTCATTGCAAAATGCCCTGGGACAATGGGACAGCATTAATCTCGCCCTGACTGGAGATGCTGAAGGGCTTCTGCAAAGATAAGATACAGTCCTACATTCAACAATGTCGTCTTGTGTCTACTCACTGTGTGTGTGCTCTGTTGTGGACAGGTATGGTTTTGCTGCTGCTCATCCTGGTCCTTATCCGCTGCTGCTGCTGTTGCTGCTGTGATGATGAAAAGGTACATGCTTTACACAGAAGGGAACTAATGGAAGGCATAGACTAACTGTGAAATGCTGACTGGCAGGCAGATGATCAAGATAAAAGTGATGCAGTCTTTTATTTCAGTTTTATTCCAGAACTATGAGCAACTTAAAGAACAGAGAAAAAGGCTGTCCGAAATGTACTATACAGTATGGTGCACTCCATTTACCCTCTTGACATTTTATTTAAATGATTGGATTGTAAAGGTAGAGGGTGAAATGAGTGCAGCAAAATATAGGAAAGGACAATCTTATTCAGTCTGCAAGAGAACTACGGCTTGGGAGAAGATTTTGTTTTCCAGCAAGACAATGACCCGAAGCACACAGCGAAAGCTACACAGAAACTCTACAGTTGATAATAAGGACACAAAATGACAATGATTTATCCAAAATCCTAATTTACTGCCCACTTTAGAGTGAACTACTGTCTGTCTGTTATCCTGGGAGTAGTAAATGAGTGCTTTTGGACATAGAGCCTGAGTCATTAGTAACCAAGAAATTCCTGTAACACATAAAGTTTCTCATACAAGACAAGTAAAAGTACAGAGGCAAGAAAAACTAAGTGAATCCTATGTGCTTGTGGTAACAGTGAATCTTCATTTACAGTATCCTGTCAATTACTGAAGTGATTGGAAACCAAGCTGAAGTCATTTAAGACAATGTAAGTGTCAAATGAAATAAAATGATTGCTGTATGTTTCCTCTGCTCTGCAGCCTCGAAGACAGAAATAAAATGATTGCTGTATGTTTCCTCTGCAGCCTCGAAGACAGAAGGTTGGCATAGAGAACATGGCTCTGGAGCCCTGACATTTGAACAGCACCTATGAAGAAGCACTGTGAAGGTGACCGATGAAGCTAGTAGTCTCATACTTTGACTGCGCCAAAGCAGAATCTTTGTGCTTAGCATTGTCAGTCAGCTCTTTGCTACCCACTTATGTAAATCTAACACATGATCTTGTTCACTGTCACTGCTATTTGGGGTTTATTATGAGGATACCATAGAGGAGTTGTAAACTGTGTACCTGTGTTTTAATTTTTTTCATGATAATAAAAAAATTGCTCTCTGTTCATGTGTTGACACATACTTTCTCATCATGCCATGTTCATTTCTGGAATACTTTTCTTAGCAAACATAAAACTATATGAAGTCAAATAAACAAAGACTTTGCACATCTGTTTATTCTTAACCAAGCAAGACAAGTTTGCCCTTTATTTATTATGATAGTTGTGTGAAATGTAACAAAACAGAAGCTAATTGAATGCATCAGAGTATCTGATCACTGAACATGATGGAAGTACATCCCCCCCAAAATGCTTAAGAGTGCACAAACCACATTCTGACTACTACTACTGTATGTAGCAGTATGACGTTTCCCTGTAGCAGATAGCAAAGGTCAACAGAGAACTGAACATGGCTACATTATTGTTTAGAATAATTTTATTGCACAGATAATTTCCACATTTTATATGACAGGCAGCTTCTTCAAAATAGAGTAACACTGGAATAAATTTGTTCATGATAGAATTAGTGTTTGGTTCACAGAGAATAATTGTGCAAAAAATTAAAAAATAAATATGAACATAGATCACAGACTTGAAATCACTGATAACATCAACAGATGTGACTGGTAGCTTAAGCTACACACATCTATGTAGTAAGCAAGGAATGTTTTTTTATGAATATACATTTCCCTCAGAGTCTTTTAGAATTCCCACACAGTACTCTTCCAAGCATTTCTTGAATTCCACTTTGTACAATGTACTTCTACACTGTAGAAGTATACTGACCTGTTACTAGAGGGAAAAAAAGCATAATTATGAAATTAGTGAAACAAACAAATCCTCAGAACGACTTTATGAGCAGCATAGGCTAGCTGTCTCCCCCTCTAGATGTTTTACTAATCTAACCAACTACTGGCTGTAGCTTTATTTTTAATGTACAGACATTAGAATGGTATCATTCTGAACATCTAACTCTAAAAAGGAGAAGAAAAGCATTTCCCATAATGTTGAAACATTCCCTAAAGTGGGCAACTGCAATGATTGTGTTTTTGGCTGCCAGCACTGTCAAAGCACTAAGTGAACAACAGAAGTATAGGTGACTGCATTTAGTGAAGACACAACTGTGTTGCTGTCACCACATGGGTAGCAAGTGCACAGACCCCCGAAAGATAATACACACCACTAGGGATCAACAGAGCCCCAGTCAAGAAAAAGACCATGACCACAGACCGTGCTCAACATTGTACAGGTGGATATATTATAGATGTAGTGATGAAAACCTTTAAAACTTCTAAAATATCCATGACTAAATCAAGATTAAATTTGTGAATTGATAGTGCTGGCAACATCAGTCAACAGTCCCTCGTCTGTCAACACATTTTGATTCAAATATTTGCTAAATCCTAAGCCCACTTCAAACCAATGGGAAGAGTTCAGATAAAGACACAAATCTGTCATGTGACATAACCAAAACTGTATAAACTCGGGCAAAAAATGTTTGTAAAATACCATCATTTGTAATAGGAAACTGATATTTTGAGGGCCTTGTGAGGAACAATGTATCTTGTGTGGGAATGCAAAAATGTTGGATGTTTCGTAAGGGAATTAAAAAGTACTTAAAAAAACAGACTGCTTTGTCTTCCAGCCCTGAGTGCACAAATTAATGTTCTACTCAACACGACAGTTCATACTCTGTGGTATAAACCACATCAGTTCTCACCAAGTATTAAGTTGGTTGAATGTAACAAAAAATAATTCTAATAACAAATCAACATCAATCTCATTCAGTCATTCAGATGTTCAAGTCAGTGAGATACAATACACACATTAGTGGTATATCAGTCACCTGGGCTAACACAACAAGGAATTGCAAACACATATCTGTTAGGGTTTGGCTCCTTCAGCTAATCATGCAACAATTCATACTGTATATATATAATTGCAAACACATATCTGTTAGGGTTTGGCTCCTTCAGCTAATCATGCAACAATTCATACTGAATATATATAATATATATATAAAAAAAAAAACACCTTCCCAGGATGTTCCTTGAATGTGTGGATATCTTGGGTCTGACCAGTCGATGGATTATGGACTGGAGCTGGATTAGAACGGTCTGTACTTCCAGAAGCTAGAGAAGACCGATATCTGCAAGGAGAGAACAGAGGAGTTTAGTGTGGCTTTTCTCAAGTTACAGATATACAAAATTACACAATCAAATAATCCACTAATTAACCAGTCAAAGCTCAAGACAGAAATAAACTACACCTTCAAACAGGTATGCTGGGATCCAAGCACAAGAGTGAAGCTGTAATGACCCAAGCTGGCCAGGAATAGTTTGAGGGCTCCTGAGGGCTCCAGCTGAAGAGGCTCCAGAGGCACATCCATTTCTACACACCATCCACGCTGCCCGCAGCCCTGGCCGAGCGAGCTGAGCGCATGCTGTGCTCCTCCTCGCTGAAGCACCGAGTGCAGCAGATGGACCAGTGAGGAGGAGGAAGCAGCTTGCCAGGTCACTGCTGCTGCTACACCACAGCAAGGCAACTGGAGAGCAGCTGCGCGACACCAAGAGGAGTGCTATCACTGTGGGAGCTGGGCCACACCTCACAGTGTTCGCACAGAACCGGCACCGCACACCCTCAAACAACTCATCCACCCTCGACCTGTCACAGCTGTGGGTCAGCTGTCTGGGGCAAATACACAGATTATACCTGGACTGTGAGCTGAATTGGTACCAAATGCCATGCCTTGGGGGCCACGAGGTTCACCATCTTCTTGGTGCACCCGGGGACATCTCCAAGACTCCGGAGGTGAAGGACTACCAAGTGCCGCATCACAACAGTCACTGGCAAGAGTGCGAAGATATGGGGAGAGAGGATGCTCAATGTGACTGTCGCTGGCTGCCATGTTGAGCACCGCTTCAGGCCGGCCAACATTCAAGATCCATGCATCATCGGCTTTGACCTGCAGGAGCTGCCAGCCGGAGGCTCGTCTACACCAACAGGGCCAATGTGAGGGGCTCATTCACGCCTATGCCACATTCCCAGGCGGTGTGCACTGAGATCAAGCGAACCAGCTTTTGCTCATACGAGAAGAGCTACAGAAGGAAGAAGCACTGACGTGGTCAGTGCACCGAGGACTGTGAGGTCCTGGGAGGTCAGAGGTTTCTTCTATTAAAGGGAGTTTTTCTTCTCCATTGTTGCCAAGTGCTTGGTCCAGGGGGATTTGCTGGGCTTTTCTCTCTCTTTAGACATTACTATGTAAAGTGCCTTAAGATGATTTTTGTTGTGAATTGGTGCTAAAGAAATAAAAATTAACTGAATTAAATTGTTATGTTAATTTCTTATGGTGTTATGTTGGTTGTTCTCTATTGCTGCTGTAACACAGAAATTTCCCCACTGTGGGATCAATAAAGTAGCTACTCTACTCTAAAAAATGAAAAAAAAAAAAAAAAGTATGTGCAAACACATAGCACCTTTCAGAATTCAAAATTAAAAAAGTAGATTTCAGAAGTAGAGGGAAAAAAGCTAACTTGTCACTTTTTGTTGTGGCAATGTTTAAAAGATTAAAAACAAAACATAGACACTTACTTTGTCCTTGAGCTGCTGGCAGAGCTGCAGGGAGATGGTGAAGAACACCAGTGTATCACTGAGCCATGGCACCACACACTCCACCTTGTGAACATGGCTCACCTCAAACCGATTGTTGCTGAGTTCGCTGTGGAGGAAGATGTTCATAAGGAAAAGTCGATTAGAAGACAGATTAAAGAAAGCTTCAAGATTTGCTACATTAATGTGGTATAGCACCTAAAAGAGCCCTGGAATGAGGATGAAGACTGATTTCCACACTGTCCAGGAAAGCCAGTGTCATAGTTCTCAATTTAAGCATTACCAGTAACAATCTTTATGCATGCAGTACTTTTTTAATGCATACACCGTATGTATCATTTACTCTAACCTGTTTATGTATAATGCATGCTATAGAACAAGACAGAAAGAAAGAAAAGGAGCAGGACTTACAACATTGATCCAGGGTTGTGTAAAACTGAGCTTCCAGTTGGCTTGAAATTCTATTGGGGTGAAACAAAACACTGCAATATCAATCACATGACATGGTGTGTAGCTTCATAAAGTGTTGGAGAGAGTCACAAGTTCAAACCTTCGTGGTGTTGGGAGGCAACACATGAAGCTGGTAGACAGTTAAACACAGTTTGCTTAAGTTGATGTAAAAGTTCATTATCACATCTCCAGGCATGGGAGGAGTGAACATTTTCTGGTGATTAAAGGCAAACAGAGAAAGAAAGAAAGAAATATGGAATAACAGTATGAAGGCTCATGATTAATAAACTGACATTTTGTCAAACTGCTGCTACAATGCTGGAATCTGAAAAAAAGGCATCGCTGCTACACTGTCATATGTTCAATCTTTGCTTTTCGTTAGTGAATTCCTGGATAATATTTAAAGGTGCAGTGTGTGAGATTTAGTAACATTTAGCGGTGAGGTTGCAACATTTAGCGGTGAGGTTGCAGCAAAGCTTTCATGCATTGTGTTTGACACCCCTCACAGCATTTTTTGTGCTGTCACCCATCCCATTTCTTCATGTCTTTGCTTCTTTGAAGACAGGGATTCATATTGTCTTCCTTTTTCTTGTGTTAAAGTATAACTACAACCCTCCCTTTCTACAAATTATAGTTCTTAAACTGTTAAACTGTTTTTTTGTTTGTAACAAATGTTAAAAACAACAAAAACAAATATGGCTATATATTGTTCATTTTCATTATCAAATTTTATCAGAACAATATAAAATAATAAACACAGTCTGTCATACTCTGGTCCTCGTGGCAAAGCAGTGTGGATGTAATGTGCGTGGTCTGAAGACCCATACCATCAGACAGCTGGTGGCCAGTTCAGGCAGCGTCATGGAGGCTGGGGTGGTGAGACGGTTTCGTGCTCGTGTCAGCTGGAGCATTACTGCATCCATGAGCTAGAGCACCAACAGAAACATGAAGTTAACATCCTTGACAGTAAAAGACTGGGACCTCATCCATGTTCGGCTCTGTACTGACTGGAACAGGACACTGTTGTCTGGAAGAACAACACACCTTATTAACCTCTGCCCCCGTCTTGAAGTGATAGCTTTCATCACGGCTGTTAAGCAGCTGCAGAGCCTGGTTAACATGGTTCCTGGCATCCTGGATCTAAAGGAAGAATACAGAGAAGAAGAAGGTGAAATGGCAAAGGGATTAGCAAGTCAGGATTTGAACATGACCAATTTGCATACAACAAGCATTTTATATTTAAAGCCAAGTTGAGGCATATGAGACATCAGACATTTACTGGTCTCTGTGACTCTGTGACAGCCCTCTTCACTTCCTCTTTGTGCTTTTCTGTGTGAGCAGGCCTTTTATCTTGTTTAGGAGTGCAGTAGGAATAACATAAGTGCTATAAGTCAACAGTTTCAACTCTTTATAATCGACTGTGTTAGTCCATTGCTTTGGCTCAAGTCAAGCTGTACCTATTGGCTAACAATGCAGTGTCATGCAGCTAGATGTCCAGCTGCATATCCTTTGCATACCATATGTACCAAATCAGTGGTTAAGGCTCTTACCCAGTTCATACAGTATTTGTATTTGGGGTTTCAAAAATAATTCCATGATAAGGGCTTCAATTTTACATCTCTATATGAACAGACCCTTAAGCACCTTCACATCAGAAGTTGTCAAAAGAATCAAGGTGCAGTGGAGCAGTTTCATCTGCATTTTAAACCACTGATTTGTGGTTACTGTATTAAGCTAAAAGCCAGGGGTTTCTTTATATTATATATATATCTATATATATGATATAAAGAAACCCCTGACTTTTAGCTTATATATATATAATATATAGATAGTCTATTATGTTGTAACTTGTTGTAGATATGAATGTATGAATTTATACTGAGTGATCAGTTTATTAGAAACAGTCTAAAGTACAATCCTGCAATAGAAACTATTGATTCAAGTGTATGGTCAACTGAGTTTATCTGACCTTAAATCAGCTGATAAATGAAATGCAAATAAAGGAGAACAAAGTGCTGAAAGGACTTCTCTGATAATTTAGCTATTTTCATTCTCTAAGGATGTCAGTGTCAGTAAGCCCACTACTTTGGATCAGTCTGAAATATCCCAAATTCTGAATGGATTGCCATATAATTTGGTTCATTCACATTTGACAGTGCATAAAGGGTGAATCTTCATGTTTTTGATGATGACTTTTCCTCTAGTGGCGCCATGAGGTTAACATTTGAGGACTGGACTGAAACATCTGAATCATGTCTGGACAATTATTGGATAAAGACATAAAATTGGGTTAGACATTCATGTCCTACTCAGGACGAATTGTAATAATTTGGATCTTCTAGCCATTCATCTATAGCCATCAGGTCAAAGTTTATAGTTGTCTGATACTTCTAAATCTAATGACGTTCCCATCAGCATCAGCTGTACTTGTGGTTAATGCCAATTATCAAATGCTGGCATTCTAACATGCAAAACTAAAACGATGATTAAATCAGCATGTTACCATTTTCAGTTTAAGCATTAATGTGTCTAAGTACTGCCTCAAAAAGCTTCCCACAAGGCAATATTTTAACACTAAACTAAACATACTAAAAACAACACATAGTCAACAAATGTATGGATAAAACCAACCCTTGATAGTTACGTATATTCGGTGTAATGTTTAAAACCGCCTCAGATTAATAATCCATGGTAGAGAACAAAATATAACATGGATTTAGCTTTTTATTTGGGCAAACTCCCATTATATCAATGCTATCTTATTTCATTATCAGTAACCCAGATTATAAACATATCTACTGCCATGTCCAGCCACATGGCAGTCTGCAAAATAATTTTAAATAGTTGAATCTGACATCTCTAACTAAGATAAAGGCCCTTCCTATGTTACTTTTAACCTTGTTGTCATCAGGTTTTTTCAGTTTTCATTGCTCCTTGACAGACGATCCTTACAGCTACAGCTTTGGTTCTCCATTTTTCTAATAGCATTTGCACACTAGCATACTGCACCTGCTGCAGCTTCCACTGTTTGTCCTCTCTGAACTGAAAGTGCAGCACTTGGCTGCTCTTTGCAACCTTCAGGTTTATGTCCTGTTGAGGAGAGCAAACATTAACAAAAGGTACATTTAGCAGAAGTCATTCTTTTACTTTCACATAAGGGAATAATGATTTGTTGAAAACGTGTCAAACTCACAGCCTGAGTCAGAGCCTCGCCCTGCAGAGTTAGCACCCCCTTCACTTGATCCATGCTACAAAACATCACATCACATTGTTATTTCATCATCACTATGGGAATTATAGAAAACAGTAGCTCTAGTTCTAGTACTAGAGCAAGGGAAGGCTGAGGGGAAGGCTACCAAATCTGATATATTACAACATTAAGGAAATGACTAGCCCATTCAAACAAGCTGTCAGTGGGCATGTGGCAGCCACTTTTACCATGGGAACACAATGCCCTGTCATAGACAGTAACTGTATCAGCTGTACTTTAAAGAGGTGGTATTATGGCCACTTTTCACATATTTTTATAAATATTGAGTGTGTTTTAAACATACTTGTGCCATTTTAGTCATCCTAGGTTGTTTGGAGTTCTTTACAAACAGCTCTGACCTCTAGCAGGCTGTTTTGAAGGTTATTAACATACAATTTACCTTACTCATGTATACCTACTCTGCCCAGTTGGAGGGAATGGCTCATCTCCACCCCCAGCCAATCAGAATAGGACCTAATGAATAATGAAATACCCCTACTGCCGAACTTTACCTTGCGTAATGGCTGTATTATGGCCATGGGCCTTATGTTTCCTTTTTAAGTCTCTTGCAGGCTGGAGTAGATACTGAAGAGTTGGATCTGGCTCTTCATCTTAAAGAGGTGTATCTGGAAGCTAAAACCCAAGAAGTTGAACTTATGCACCTCTGGATAAGACCTCTGGAGCTGGAAAGGTCTGTTGACCATCATGCCTCTACTCCAGTTAGTGTGCATCCCTCCACTGTTGCCTCCTTCAACCAGTCTGATATTAACAGACACATTGCATTGGTTCCTATTTTCAGAGACAGCGCGGTTGATTTGTATTTTAATGTTTTTGAGCATGTTGCTGCATATTTGAAATGACCTAAAGTTAGAGTATATGCGGTTTGCTTTTGCAGTGTAAATTGGTGCAAAAGGCCCAGGAAGTGTGCATGGGTTTGTCTATTGCAGACAGCTTGGATTATGATATCATTAAAACTACTGTTCTATGTGCATACTAACTTGTTCCTGAGGCATAGAGGCAAAAGTTTTGATCTTGTGAGAAATCTGCCAACCAAACAGGTCGAGTTTGCCTTTGAAAATTCAGCGCTATTTGACAAGTGTTGAAGTTTGCACAACTTTGTGAACCAATCTTGCTTATTAAAACCTGTCTTCCAGAAAAAAAAATTGGTTTATCTGAAAGAGCACAAGGTGAATTTCTCCAAAGCTGCTGAGTTTGTGCTGACCCACCATGTTATTTTTCCTTTTCTCCTGTGCATTGCAGGGATAAGTTGGCTGTTAAAACAGCTCCAAAACCCAAATTGTCTCCAAAAAGTTCCCATCATGTGCCTTCTGTTTTTTTCTAAAAAACATGAGTTTTTCTATTGTCACAATACAGGTCATCTTATTGCTGCCTGTTCCGTACTCCCCCCCAAAAAAAAAAAAAAAAAAAAAAATGTCGTGAAACCTCCAGAAACCCAAAAAGCATCGGTTTTGTGCAATCTGTTTCCACTCTCTCACCTTCACAGAGTCCTGTCCGTGATTAGCCTGTTTTTGATGAATGCTATCAGCCTTTCATTTTGCAGGGCTCAGTCTCTCTGTTAAGGGGAGTGGGGGAGCTGGTGCCAATTACTGTACTGCACTATACTAGTGCTGCTCAGCCGCTTATATTACAAAGCATTCTACCATTTTCATCAGAGACATATTGTGGTTTGGATGCGCTTAAGCGGGGTAAAAATGAGTGTGCTACGAGCTCTGCTGCACACAATTGTGTTGTGTTCTTCCCTTCATACTGGCCCAGTAAAAGCTGGCATTCTGCAGTAGTTACCACTTCAAGGCATGACTCTAAAACCAGGAAAAACATTTTTCCAATCCCTGAAGTGATTGAAAGTCCAGTCATTACCTCAAACGTGCGAGTCCCCACTGCTGCCGAGCAATCTTCTGTACATCCTACCTGTGCTGTTATGAGGCTCCACTGCCTTTTGAAGTCTGAATTTGTGAATGGACAAAAGACAGATCCCTCACTGGCTGCATGCTCTCCACTTGCTATTAACTCTGACAAACCAAAACCTGTGTACATCCTCCTTTAGATGGTGATGTAGGATGGAACTCACTTCAGCAAGTTCTACTTCTGTCTCAGTATCACTCTCAGGTACTTAGTATAGCTCACTGGCAAGTCTCTTTAACCCCTAGCGCTTTTGAGATACTGCATCTCCCTTTGTTACTCCTGCCAGGTTCTTACAATATGTTGTCATGCCTTTCAGTGTTCGCAACACAGCCACCACGTTACAATGTTTTGACCAGTGTTAGGCACTGTGAGGGATATTTGGATGAGGTGATATATATTGGTTCATGGGTTGAACACATGAAAACACTAGAGGAAGTTTTCAACAGGCTAAGAGAGGCTTCACTCACTCTAAATCTTGCTAAGTGTGACTTTGGCTGAGCTACTGTGACCTACTTAGGAAAAGAAGTGGGACAGGGGCAAGGATGTCCTACAGCTGCAAAGGTCCAAGCCATTTTAAAGTATTCTGTGCCTCAGACTAGACGTGAGTTATGTTGTTTTCTAGGGATGGCGGGAGATTATCCTGGGTTTTGCAAAAACTTTGCTGCCACTTCTCTTGCCAGCTCAACCAGTTACAAAACAATTTGTCTGGACTCCTGCATGCCAGAGTGCTTTTGAGCCTGCAAAAGCTCTACTCCGCAGCACCCCCATTCATGCAGCCCTGGATTTTGGCCAACCATTTAATATAGCAGTTGATGCCAATGCTAGCGGCACCAGCACTGTTGCTGCAAGAGGAATGTACTGCCCACCTGATC